TTGAGCATGTATTTATTTATGTATTTATTTTTATATATGGGAGAGCTGTTCCTCCATACCTAAAAAATCTTATCTGTGCAAATAAGCCTTGAAACAGATTTATGTAAACATCCTGTCTGGTAAATTAGGCCATGAAAATACAATATCTAAGTTTGGCTACTTCTCTCTAATGAGAATATCTTAGTGGCACTCATTAGATTTAACTATCTGGAAATTAAAGGCGCCAATTAAGTTAAAGCTGATATATTTTTCTCATTTTTATTTTAAAAAATTGACTGCAGTTAACTGTTTTAATAAGTGTTTGGCTATGTAAAACAAAGGGCTAGTCTTGCCCACATGAGCTCTCTATGGCCAAGAACCGAAATTTGAACACTTACTTTTTATCAGAGGATTCAACAAGTTTCAAAATCTCTGATGATAAGGCGCTCTGCTCCTGTCTCCTCCTCCATCCTGTGTGTGTGGCTCTGTGTGTCTGTGTGTGTCATTCTTTGAGTTCCGCTGCCGTACGCATGCGCATGTTTCGTAGATACAGACAGGAGAGGCAGAATAGAGGCTCATGCGTGAATGTCCAACGAATAACTCTGATTGTTGTTTCAAAAATGGAAAACCTGCTTTCATTACTGAGTTATGCCCTGGATTTTGTAGCGTTTGTGGACGCTACGTCGCTACTTGATAAAAATAATAACGTTACTACTGGAAAGTTACTTGATAAATAAAGCAGCGACGCTACGGTCAAGGTACTGGAAAATGTAGTTAAACTAATAGCTTCGCTACATGTAGCGGCGCTACTGCCCATCACTGAATATATGTCAACATTTTAGTTAGCATATTCATTTAGGTCTGGATTTCCATGGCACTACAAGGCAATTAGGTAGGTTCTGTCTGTGTATTTTTTTAAATCAATACCCTGTGAATCTAAATCTACTTTGAGCCCTGAGCAGCAGTGACCAAGGGGCAAATTGAAATAATAATGCCAAAATTGCCAAAGTAGAAAGTTTTTGTTCACTTTTTTGGAGCAAAGATGATTTTATTGATCTGTGTGTAATGCATAAATCACAGTAGATCAGGAAGTATTTGCTTTTCGATGGAAGCCTTGTATGTCTAAAACCATTCCTATATTGTATATTTTGTTAGCTTGTTTGTCTGCTATATTAACCAATATGATGTGTTGAACTAGATCTGCAATTTTCCCTGACTTTGTGAGATACTGTTTTATAAATTATGGCATTACTTAATAAAAAAGTTTATTTGAATTCTATAAATCAAAGCTTTATGCCCAACAGCAATGATGAACTGCAGAGAAGCTTTGTATCTCCAGCAATTGTAGTATCAAGGTAAGAGCTGTCAGTCTGGTAGAGAATATGCTTGTCATTTGAAACTGTAAAGGTAAGCCCTTTTATGAATTGCAACATAAAACCGACTAAAACTAGACTAAAACCTTTATGGGCTTTAGTCAACCAAACCCAGACTAAAACTATAAAGATGTAACTAAAACGAATAATAGGTTTCATCCTCAAGACGAAAACCAAGAATAAATCTAAGATGTCTGTCCAAAAAAATACTGGTGAGAGAGTGAAAATAATGTTAAACATTCTACCAAAAAACACAAACAAACCTGTAAATACAAAAATAAAATGAATGTTATAGAGCAATGATTAGCAGCACAACTTACCTCAGCTGCCTCTTTCTCCCCATCTTTGCTCTCCATCAAACCCTCAAATAAATTGTCAAATGCATTCTTCAGCTGGAAGACATACAAAATAATAATACTACACTACTTTAGTGACTGGTGCTACAACATCAATGACAACCAGAATTTTTTTGGCTCTCTTCCTTCATTATACTACGCGCAATTATCTGGATAGCTTTAGCCTATTGATCACTAAGGACATTCAACCAGGCACTGAGAACACAAAAAGATAGGCTGACAAGTTTACACTACATCATGTATATGCAAGATTTGCATGCACAGCACTAATAACATTTCAAATCGGTCTCTGTGACGCTGCACAAGTTGTGATATATAATGTTCAGCACTAGAGCAAAATCTTTAATTTAACTGCAAAGTGTCTGGAATAGAATTGCTGGATGACAACTAATTAGCATTTGTTGTTGTAAAAATGCCAGACTTTACCTCTGAGCAAAACATTTTTAAACAGATTTCTTGTTAGAAAATGATTATGGCAGGAGGTTATTTTTTAGTTTTTTTAACACACAACAATAAGGCCAGATCACCCTGATCTTTCCTGATTTGCCCTTTCAGCTTCAGTCAGACCTAAACCAAACCCTCACCTCATCTGCAGTTAGCGGGATGGTCACACCTTTCTTGAAGGAAAACGAGCGAGCGCCAGCAGAGCCAGAAGCTTTCCCCATTGCACCTGAAAGAGAAAGCAGTTAGTGTCACTGTTACTGACTAAAAAAATAAGGAACCCAAGGGTGAGATTTAAACACGGTGTGCATAACTGCAGGTCCACCTCCTTCTGTGTCCAGTTTGTACCCTCGACTCGCCATGTACTTCATCACAGCATCCTTGTTCTCTTCGCTCCCCAGGAATGAAAGTGTAACCGGCATGGAGAAGGTGTTGTTGGTCCCTGAGTAAACCACCCTAACAATGACATTCATACCCACACTTAGCTTCAACAGACTCTAATCACTGAGCACAACAGAGAGGGAGTTAACAGCCCTTTGTATCCGTGCATTCTTACGGATTCTTGGATTTTTTCTAATGATAATTTTGACCTAAAATCATTCTGCCAATCAGAACTCACCCCTCTACTTTGGCCAGGTTTTTATCCATAACATATGCCATGGCTGCAGCCAGCTCCTTCTTAATGTGTCCCACCTGTCGGCCTAAAACGTTGGTGACCATCACCGCATTCCGGTCGTACGGATTTTGCGGCTCCCGTACCAAACTCACCATCTCCCCACGGTTTACCTGTAAAGAAACATAGTATTGCTATGTTTAAGAGGATTATTTTCTTTATCATTATCAAGTAAAAAGAACCAGCAATGTGCACAAAAGGGCACTTGGATCTGATCAAAATTTTTTTTCTTCTTCTTTTTATGACTAAATATGTTCTTATTTCAACTCAAAGCAACCAAATATTTTCTGTACTTTTTGTGCCATGTTATTGGCAGATGATGAAGTTTTTAAATATTTCCACAAGTTAGGGATGAACCAGATGGATTTGACAAGATATTTTTAAAATACTAAGTAACAGTTATTTTGATCTTTATCTGAATCGTTTTTGGCTATTAAGCCATTGTTGAAGGCTGAAAAGCGTAACCATAGGACATGACAATACAGAATTATTGCTTTTAATCATAAAACTGTCCAGTTACATCCATCCTATATCCTTGATCAGAGCTGAACTCATCATTCATATTTTGGTTTGATATGATTTGTGCCTCAAATTATAACAAAACTGAATTAAAAAGGAACTAATACAAAAACAATAGCATTCTCTATGTTTTACACAGTGAGAAAAAATAAGAGTGAGGAAATCCACTGAATGAATTTAACATAATTAAATTCTTTAATGTGTGTGGATGTGATCCAGCTAAAAGAGGATTTTACAGCAAAAGCAAAAAAAGAATATAAACATATATATTAATAAAAACACACACACATATAAATAAACACGCACACACACACATACACACACATATATATATATATATATATATATATATATATACATA